CTCGTCACACACACTCACGCACTCACAAGTTACACACGCACAGCCCGACTCCGCGACACCCGGTACGAGACAGACGTGACTGTCTCCTGTCCACCTCGACCCCCAGAAGCGTCACCTAGCTCGGCTCTGACGTTCCTGTGGCCGTGCTGCTGTCTGCTGTGGCTCTGCAGTGGGACCTCAGAGACGCCCTTGTGTGCTGTAGCACCACAGGCACTGAGGCGGTCTTTACACAGAGAGTGGTGGGAGTCTGGAACAGGCACGCCTACGCTGTCAAAGCCGATACCCTGGCTTCTTTCTTCAAACAGCTGGATGGGATCCTGCAGTCAGAACAGGAGGCACTTCTGTACACAAAGAGTGGTGAGAGTGGGGAACAAGAGGCCTAATCATTTATCACAGTGAGATCAAGGTAAAAGCACAGTACCAACAACATGGTTGGGCAGTTTGTTCCCCACTCCTGCCACCCTCTGTGTAAAGAAGGGATGTAAATGCTCTTCCTCCTGATTTCCATTCGTGCCCCGTGGGTCGTGTTTCCCTGCTCATTCTGAAGAAGTACGCTGGGATGATGGAGGGGACAGCCCACAGTTCAGATGAAAGGTCTTATACAGTAGAGAGATATGGAGCAATGAGCACGGGCATACAGGCAGCCAGCCATCTGTATAAATACAGCTATGACTGGTTGCATTCATTTAACTGTGAGCACACTCGTCCCCGATAGCAGAAATAGCCATCAATAATAATAATAATAATAATAATAATAATAATAATAATAATAATAATAATAATGAAACAGCAAGTAATATTCCATGCTGAAAAGAGAAGAAAGAAAACAACGTTTCGGCTGTGGAGCCTTCTTCGGTGTAAGCGGGTGTTTTTTTATTATTTATTTAGAATAATAAAACCTTGAGCTAAGATAGACTTCTGTCCGTGACGTCACATGGGGGGTGAACGCGCATGGTCACAAATCCCCCTCCTCCCGCCATCTTGGTTTTAAAAGGGCTCGCAGCTCCTTTGCCATGACAACGGCTGCCCAACCGTTACCCCCGAACCGCGAAGCTTAAAATGTCCAAGAAAGAAGGTAAAGATAAAGGCCCCGTCTTTAAGTAATCGTTTTTTATAACTAATAAAAAGGCAAAAAAAATACAATTACAAAGGGATAAAAACTGTTGTCTCTTTCTCTGGATATATATATATAACATTAGGAAAATGTTCGGTATAGGCCTACGTGGTAGGTTACGTCGTCCTGTTCGTAACTCAAATGACGCTGATCACAGCCAAACTTTTGTGTTTATTTTGTTGATATTAATAATAAAAGTGAATTTAATCCACATTCTTTGCCCCATCCCACCAATCCCATTTGTGTTCACCTGGGGTCAGCACCTCCCCCCGAAACCCGAGCTCTATTCGCGTGTGACGTTTTTGTTTTGCCGTTGTTTCACTAAATACAATTTAAAACCGACAAACCTCTTATTTGCCCGCTGTACTCGCTGGACTCTCCTCCAGGACCTGTCTCTGATTAAAACCTCCCCTTCAGACCGCCGCCGGGGTCCCCAGATCCTGGACACCCGAATCGGGGGCTAATTGCTGCTTAATTACCGAGCAGCTCCGGATTAAACGGACCACAACCTCAAGAATCGATATTGTTAACATTTTACATGTATCTGTATTTTAAATATTCGGAAAAATTAATAATAAAGCTTTTAATCTTTTTATTAATCTTATCTTATCGTTTACTCTCGAAGCCATAGACTGAGATAATGATATTATTACTCGGTTACATGCTAAGGACTTCACAGGAGTGTAGTATTTTAATGTCACTGGGCTTTTGGTAGGTTTGTTATTGTGGTAATTAGCACTGAAACAAATACACAGCTATAAGTACACAATAAATATACAAATAATAAATACACAAAGCTGAAAATGCATATGCGTAGCAATAACACTGCTAAAACTATTCTGGCACAGTTCTTGAAATATTGTTTCTTTCTGATGGACCACTTTGTTTCACTAATTTAAGTTTCAGCGTTTAAAAATGTTTTTTTTCCGTACCTGTTAAAATGTGTTGTTGGTGAAGCATGAACTTTAAAAGTGACTGAACTTCGGATCGGAGTGACTGTATATGAAACCAGTGCGGTGCTCTCCGGCGGTGAACAGCGAGTGAAACTGGTCGCAGGCTGCCGCTCCGTGTCGAGAAACGATTTAGCACGTTGTTACGCACTTATTCTCAGCAGCCAGTGCTGACCTCCTCGTAAGTAAAAGATGCCAAAGTGTAGATGAATGTGTGAATATGCAGTTATGTATATATAGTACTTTTGCATGTTCTCCTTGTCTTCTGGTGGGTTTTCTCTGGGTGCTCTAGTTCCCCGGTGATCCTGTGTTGAATAAAACGGTTCATAAATGGATAGTGATACGCTATATTAGAATAAATGTAATTTCCGTCGTTTTCCACTTAAAATTATGAAGATGTCTAGAAGGAGGGGCTACATTTCATTTAGCATTGGAAACCTTTTGTATTGATGATTTGAGCTCAACACTTCTCTCTGGCATTTTCGACGGAGCAGCAAGTCTCAAGAGAACCCCCCTCTCTGGGCTCCCATCTCTCGCTTTCATCAGTAGGCCCTGCCCCCGCCGTGACCGCCCAGCCCAAGATTATCATCACCACCAAGGTCCCCGGCACTGCTGCGGCTGGGACTGCGGGCCAGCCCAGCGTCTCCTGGCAGACAGGGCTGACGGACTGCTGCGCGGACACGAAGATCTGTGAGTCCGAAACACAAATAATCCAGAGACCGAAGATACTGGAACTTCACAGAATTAATTAAACATCTGAAATTCCCCACAACACAGACATGCACAAATATCAAAATACTCAGGATTGTCTAAAACCTGACAGTCAACAGTTGATCTCTAACCAGAGAAAGTGACTGTAGGAAACATTAGATAATTATTGTATTTGGTAATTACTGTATTTGCAGGAATTGTGATACTTGTGTAAAAACATATAGAAGTTTCACTAGGTTAAAAAACACATCACAAATGATAAATCAGACAAGTACCAAACGATTAAAGCTACAATGTTTCAGTGGGTATTTGATTTAGTTTTAAAAGTGCTGAGACTGTGTAACTTCAGCCATTTCCTCAGCTCACGGTCTTTCCTCGTTCAGCGCCTTTCCCTCCTCCCTCTCTTCTCTGTCATCACTTCTCTCTCCTGCCCTTTCTCAGCCCTGGGTTGGGCTTTACTTTGAATTCAGTCTCATTTAACAATATAAAACTCCTTCAAAGAGGCTCTAGATGGTGCAATAATACCATTAATGAAACCCTCTGTTCTGTGGACACTAGTCATTACAGTGTGCTCATCGGAGGACATGCTGTGGCATTTTCTGGGATAAAGAGCATTGGCCTTAGTTTTCATTAGGGATTGAGGTGGGGTTTATATATAGCAAGGGTTAGAATTTGGCACCTTGTTCTAAAGAAAAGCTTCTGAATGATATTAGAACATGCGCTTGTAACCTCTATTAAGGAGTTTTGCTCCTACACAAGATGGTATTCAAATAAATGTGACCCATGTATCCTTTCCTAACCCTCTCCCTCTCAGTTCCTCAGCCGTGCCCCTCCTCCTGTCCCTCCACTGCTCCCCTCCCGGCCCCTATCTTATCACTCGCTCATCTCTCGCCCTGGCAGGCCTGTGTGGGGGCTTCTGCCCCTGTGTGCTCGCCTGCCAGCTGGCCGAGCAGAACGGGGAGTGTTTCTGTCTGCCGCTCCTGGACGGCTCCATGCTGGCCCTCCGCACGGGGATGAGAGCGAGGTACAACATCCAGGTGAGCCTCCCCTGTCCCGCTACAGTACAGCTCATCTATGCTGTGACTGAGGATCTCATACTCCTTCATGCTGCAGCGATTCTGTCTGGACGTGGTGCCACGTTTTCACGAGCTTCTCATGAGTCCTGTATAACACTTGCAATTCACCAATTGTGAACGATCTGAAAAACATATTTTCAAGGAATTCTAAATATCACTTGTGAGCTAATCAGTTGCATCTGGAGGGTTAAGATGTTCTTGCATGATGCCTTTTGTTCTGAATTTGGATTTTTTAATCTACACACACTTGAGGACCTGTCTGCAGAATGGCTTCCAGCCGCTTGCACTGACTCTGGTCTCATGCAAGAGTGCGCGGGCTGTAGCTCCTGCTGCAAGTTGTTTCAGTGCCTCAAAAAAATCATGCAGAATGAGCCGAAAAGGCCACCGGAATAGAGAACCTTAAATGGCCTGAGATGATAAGCTAGTGATGACTTTAAACGTTCCTTTTTAGCCGTCTACATGCTGAAATGCCAAGTCAGGCTCCTGGCACCTCTACTCCGCGCGGCAGAGTAACGGAGCTCCGTTCTCTTGCAGGGCTCCGTGTGCTCCGACTGGGTGGCTCTCAGCTTCTGCACTGCCTGTGCTCTGTGCCAGATGGCCCGCGAGATGAAGCACCAGAGAGCGAAGTGAGGAGCACAGAGCACCGCGCGTCCCTGTGGCCTCTCCCCTCTCTTGTTCCTGCAGCTGAGCTCATTTTTTATGTTTCTGCTCTAAGGCTTTATCAAACAAGAGGTGGTATTAATAAAGTTTTGTAAATGTTCTGAGACTCTGCTTCAATTCAGTTCCATATTTCAGTACCATACCATGTGGATAAGAATAATAACATGGCTGAAGATGTCTTGGATTCTGAATGACAAGTTGTGAATTTTTGGTAACTTTTCCAGATAGAAGCAATATAATATTCTGACGCCAGTAGAAACTGGTTTTATTAGTAACTCAGCCATGCAAATAGATTTTAGTTTTCAGAGCCAGTGAGATTCAATATCTAAAACAATCGGCAAGAGAACTCTGCACTCTCTAGAGACAGGTGTGGGAAAACACTGGTGACTAAAATGACATGGGGGCATCCTCAGATTGTTCAGATTACAATACCAAAGGGTGCAGCAATAAAATGTATTCATTCGCAATCCAAAAGTAACCACAAGACTGTATAAAAGGAAAAGTGGGAAATCTGGAGGCAACTCAGCTGGCATGCATCTTGTCTTTCGAAATCTTGCACAAAGAACTCAGACTACCAGCAGTTTTTTTCAGGTGTGAGGGATGGTTGCAGAAAAAGTTTACTGAGGTACAAATGCACTTATCTGTGACGGGAGCACTTGAACAGAGAGCTATTTTTTGTGTCAGCTAGGTTTTCACATAATGAAGAGCCCCCATCCTAAACAGAGGAAACCAAACAGTTTTCTCTAATGTGAGCATCGGCACATTAATGCCTTGAGTCGCCACACTGGAGAGCAGAAGGAATCTGGTCAGTTTTCATCCCAGGAGGATTTAAAATCCACTCCTTTCATCTCTTCCCGGTATACAGCCAGAAACCGAGTCTCCTGCTCCGGGCTGAAGTAATTCTTCCAGTCTCCTGCAACGCCTGAAACCCAGAAAAAAGCCACTCCATTAAATCAGTCGGAATGGTTTTAACGCAAACAGCCCTGGAGCCCAAAAGCCAGTGACGAACCCTACTCTGTAAAGCTGGGGTCACGGGTTCCCCTCGGTCCGTAGCCAGCTATGCCCAAGGTCCCCCATGCAGCAGTGCACCCATCTCCAGGTCCAGCTAGACTTGGGGCCGACTGGGCTCCTGTGAACTGGCAGTGCCCCAGACCTGACAGAAACCAGTCGGGTCGATGGGGAACCGCTTTCCCACTTAATCTGGCAAGCGCCTCTCCGAGAGTCCAGCTGGTCTTGTTCTCTAACAGCTGTTCATATTTGCAACTATTAAGGTGGCCTTTGTCTGAGATTCCTCTTGAGGAGCTGGAAGGCTCTGTCCTCCAGAGGGACAGACCGCCTCACACCTACTCCATGACCATCCCGTTTTCTGGGAGAGCCGCACCTGCGGCCCCTCCTGCTGGCCCCGGCTGCAGGCGCCGTTACAACACAAACTGCTCATTTCCCCGGAAAGGAAGAGACAGGAGCTGTATGGGCAACAAACCCTGTTTCAGGAGCTACAAAAGGGATTAATAATGAACTTTTATATAGCGCCTTTAAAAGTAGCTTCTCAAAGCGTTTTAAAATTAACGAGGATAGAAGATCACCGAAGTGGCACACAAGGGTTTGGAATGCAGTAGGAGATGCAGACACAGGAACCAATTACGTAAAAGCCCTTCTGAAGAAGGTTCTGAGTTGGGATTTGAAAGCGCTCAGGGAAGGCGACTCCCCAATACCCAGGAAAGCAGGAAACTGGGGCGCAGGTCATGATAAGGCCTAGTGCTGTACCCACCTTTCCTGAGGAAATGGGACTTGCTGGTGTCCATGAACTCCTTGGGCACCAGAGAGTAGTTGGACATCGTGTTCTGCTTCATGCTGCTGAAGGAGCACTGCTCTGCAATGTGCGTCAGGGTCTCCTCGCTCAGCTCCTTCCCCAGGAAATGCGAGAACTTCAGCACGGCCCCTCTCAGGTCCTGGGAAACCACGGGAAATAGAGGAGGAAGCTCTCTGGGAATCCCCTGCAGTATGGCGAGGAAGCCTGCTCCAGACTCCCATCACTCTTTATGTAAAAACCTTCTTTTGGTTCTATATACACTTCCGTGTGACCTCCAATCTTTGTGTTCTTGTTCCCAACCAGCCCTTTTCTAATTGCAGGAGAGCTGGAGTCTATCCCAGCAAGCAGGGGATCATGGTAGGCTACACCCTGGACGGGACGCCAGTCATCGCAGGACTGACTGTCACTGCTTTTTGAATACCTCAACATAGTCTCTTCTCCTTTAACCTGTCTTGGTATGTTTCATCTGCTGGGAGGTTTCTATTGATTGAGATCTCAGCTACATCTTAAAAAGCCCTGGTTCCCTCACTTCTTCGTACTGTATGGGGGACGGTGTCAAGGAGCCCCCTGTTGCCCAGGAAGACTAACAGCACTTTAAAATGCTTTTCTGAAAGGTGCTATACAACAAAGCTCATATATCACTATTTTAATGTAGAGAGAATTGTTTTTCACTGAACTAACTATTAAGAGGATGGTCCATGGATGAAGGCGTCCTACCTCCAGCATCTCCTCGTAGGTGATGTACAGGATCCGATCCTGGACCTCAGGGGACCTCCAGCTCTTCACATGATCTGTCCACTTCCCGAACAACACTGCGTGGAGAGACAGGCAGGAGGACAGAGGGTCAGAGTGTGTGCTCTTCTGTCAACACCATCTCCACATCAGCCTGGAGAGTCACACAGCGCTGAGGAGGCCTAGCTGACACGCACAGACAAGGACAGACACTGGCACAGAGAGACACAGAGAGAGACACACACAGACAAGGGCACAGAGGGACACACAAAGACAAGGAGACACACGGGCACAGAGGGACACGCACACACAGGGCTCGTGCTCACTACATCAGAAAGACACACATGCTCCCTCACCCTCGCCTGCCAGGAACTTGTCCAGGAACTCGTCGAAGGTCCCAGGGTCGTCCAGAAAGCTGGCCATCTGGTGAAAGTGGAAGGACGAGACGACCACGTCCTTGGGGTTGCGGGTGACGTAGATCACCTGTCGCAGAGAGTTCTGTCAGACACCGGACCCCCCCCATACGCTGACCGGTCCAGCTCTCCGCAACCGCCCTGGAGCTCTTCCCCTTTCCCAAAGCCCTGATCCGAAATCGCCCAGCTCATTTGTGTTTTCAGTGATTGACCTTCTACACAAACCTGGCCTGGCTCGCACCCCCAGAATGGGCATGGTCTGCACCCCAAGTTAAGGACTGCGGAATGAGACAATAACTGGCTCCCCCTAGTGGTGTCACCGAGCACGACGGTCCTCGGACTTTACCTTGGGCTTGGCCTTGAAGAAGGAGGCGGGCATGAGGGGCAGAGGCAGGTGGGTGACCATGGCGCGGGGCGCGGGGCGCCCATCCAGGACCAGGGCCGCCCTGGTCTCCTCCAGCCAGGGCACGCGGTCCCAGTTGGGCTGGCTCTGCACCGAGGACAGGTCTCCCCCGCTCAGGACCAGCGGCAGAATCTCCTGCATCCACGTGGTGCCTGGACAGCACAGACAACCAGACAGGCAGCTGTAAACACACGGCCCTGCAGTCCAGTCCCGCTGCAAGATGAGCAAGGTCTTCCGACATCCCTCAGGGACACAGAGCCCCGAGGTCCTGTGGTCGCCCTAACTCACCCGTTTCTAACGACCTCAGGTTGTGAATGTGCTCTTTAAAGTAGCTCGGGTCTGGGAGATTTGTTACAAATGACTTCTCATTCTGCCTCGGACCGGATGGACGACCCTCAAGCGCTTGAAACGCACACAAGGGCTCGCAGTTCCCCTCGCAGTTCCGGGTGTGATCCTTCCCGCCCCGCGCTCCGGGGGTGGGGGTTCTGTGTCGGAGAGGAAGAGCAGACTGGCGCGGGACGGCGCCCTGTCCTTCTGTCCTGCCTGTGCGCGAGAGCTCACACACCCGATTGCATAACTCCCCCCTGAGCCCTCGTCATGTGCCGCCTTCAGAATTTTATTTCATTTTCTTAAAACTAATGCTGTTAAACTAAAACAAAACTGCCTTGCTGCAAAAGCAAACCAGGCAAATAATGAAATGGCTTTGAGCGTGTCTGTGATGTTGCAGATCACCGTCTCTCCTCCAGATCCTGCTGGGCTGCCCGGTTCTGGCGATCAGAACACCGGACAGTGATCGCTTAATCAGACAAGTGCAGTCCGGCCAGTCGAGGGGCGAGAGGTACTCGGGTACCGGTACCGGATCCAGACGGTTTCGGAATCTCTTCATTTAACACGGCGCCCGTTTAATGCGCGACCCGAAACCGTCCCGAGCCGCTGCGGAGCGCAGAGTCCAGGGCTCGGTCCCGTTTCCAGGTTTCACTCCTCCTGGCTCGCTTCAGTCAAGCGAGTCTGTACTGGATCTGTACTGGGTCTGTGGGTAGCAGTGGAAAATGCCGTCTGTCCGTCGCGATCTCACTCACCAGACTTGGGGTATGTCACGGCGAAGACGTCGTCATCCCGAGTTTTAAACTCCTCGGCGTATTTCAGGCTTTCCGCGGAATGCGTTTCCCTTGGCACTAACAGCCCCTTGTACAGAATGTATTTCCCTTGCGGAGCCATGCTGAAATGGCAGCGGAACTTGTTGCAAGAGACTGCAAACCTGGCGCTGGCGCTCGGAGGGAGCGCGTGAAAGCGGGCAGCAGCGCCTCTCTCGGCGGCGCGGCTGCTGCCCTGGAACAGGACGGGCTGCTGCGAGAGAGATTTCCTCCGTCACCACAGACTGGCCAGGGTCTGGCTTTTGCGATGCAGTAATTGTTTGCAATTAGTTTTTTTTTGTCGCAGAAAGACAGTTTAAACAGTGCCCTGTCGCGGCTGAACCGAGCCAGGCCGGGTCTGGCCGGGTCTGGCGGCGAGGACACAGAGTCTCTTCAGGTCCGATGTGTGATTCGAGTGTGGGCTACATCATCGTCGACTGCACTGCTGGTTTGCTTTATACAGAGAGAAGAAACCACGCATTTGTGCTTCTTTCCGAAACTTGTCAAGCGCTTTGCGTGGCCCTCTGCGTGTAAAACGCTTTGAAACGTGATGATTGCACGCGTGTCTGGGCGCGTCCTCACCGCGCGGGCTATCCGCGTCTCGGCCAGCGGCTCTCGCGACGGGCCAACTAACCCACCGGCACGTCTGGCACCGTGGGAGGAAACCCACGCAAACTCGGAGAGAACGTGCAAACTCCACACAGACAGTACCCGGTCCAGAACTGGACCCGGGACCCAATGGTGACCGCCGCGCCACCTCGTGCTAATACAATCATCTTTTGGCTTTTTAAACACTTCAGAAATATAAAACAAATTCTCCACAGTTTAAAATAAACATACAAAAACACGCCAACCACCGCTTACTTCACGATGTAAACGCAGTGTGAGAGAGCTGTGAGTAGGGCGTTACAGCTGCGCGTTAATCTCCGGGGGGTGAGTGAGCAGTCCGCAGCTCTGAACCGACTGGTCCAGAATCGGGGAGGCGGGGAACATCTACATTTAATAGCTATAATTATGTGTAAATAAAAACAGAACCTGGCGCTCCTTAAATAACTCGGTATTGAATAAGATCCTTGCAAAGCGCTGTTTTAAAAAAGAGGGGTTCATTTCACGCTGAATAACTTATCAACGAGTTACAACAAGCACGATCCTCCTCGGGGACCTGCTGATGGATTAAACCGGGGGTTTATTTCAGGGAAATTTAATCCCTGTAAATCTGGGCTGTGTTCTAGAACCAGTTTGTCTTCTCCCGCTACGGCTCTCTTTAAGAGTTTTCACAAAGCGGTTCTTCAGTTTCAGCTTGAAAAACCTTTGGCAAACCCTCGTGCTGGAGGCAGTTCAGAGAGGGGAATTAACCCTTCAGCCCGCCTCCGGAGAGTGGGGCGAAACACGCACAGGCTCCACGCACAAGGCGCCTGCTCTTTGTCTCTGGGTTGGAATCGAACCCGGGACCGGAGGGCTGTCCATCCCGGCCTGTCCTGAGAGATCCTGCGGGTCTCAGCTCTGGACCTTTAACTGGGAGAATCCAAATTCACATCCCGGGAGATGTTGCTCGTCCGAGCGCAAGACCCCCCCCCCCCCGACTGTCCCGGTAAAATCCCCCACCGTGTTCCAGGAACAGGAGTGGGTCTCCTTCAGCCACCGGGGACACGCGGAGTGGGTCTCCTGCAGCCACCGGCGGCGGAAGGACACGTCGCTCCAGCGCGCACTTGTCCCCTCACGGCCGCTCGAGAGACTCAGAAGATGTCGCAACGAGACCTACAGTTTTAGGGGGCGA